CAACAGCAGAAACAACAGCAACAGCAGCAGCCCCATGGGCAGCAGCAGCAGCGTCAATGTCACCTTTTTCATCACCTTCATGAAAACCAAATAATGGCCAGCAGCTCAGGTATCGAATGCAGGCAGCCGCAGCATAGTTATGAGCGTGATCAGCATCATTAGCTGACTAGCTTCTGCAGCGGCAGCCTGTCAAAAATTCTGCGCCCCACGAACTCATCAACTCATCACCGGTCATTGTGACATATCGGACATGCCTCATCATCTTCAAAGAGCCGTGAAACTACACAAGGAAGTACTCGTGTCTACTGCTCCATCCCGAGGGTCGGATGGCCCTCCGTCAGCAGAGCTCGCCGGACGTCCTTCCAGGAACAGAACTTCTTGGAGATGCTCCCGAAGAAGTTCACGTCCTCTTTGGAGGATTTGGGGTTTTGGGCTTCGGGTGTTTATGTAAGCGCTCTGAGGAGACGGTTTTGAGCTGCAGGATGGCGGGATCATGGAGGATCGGGTTTGTGAAGCTCCGGCTAACTGACAAGCGTGCCATGATGACGCTGAGAAAGAGTGAAATTGCCACAACTGTTTTCATCCCTTATCATGGCATAGTTGTAGCTGCTGCTGGTGCAGAGGAAGAGCAGCAGCAGCAGCAGCAGCAGCAGCAGCAGCAGCACAAGCAACAACCACATTTGCAATCATGACCACAACTATACACAAGTACTGGTAGTTGTTGCTTGTAAGTGCCGTCATTGTCGCTCCTGTTGTCGTCGTCGCTGTCCAAGGCTTGATTTTGGCACTGTTGCTCTTGTTGCTGCCTTAATATTTGCGATACCTATCGATTGCCCCACATGGCTTCGGGTCTACCACGGTCTCTGAACCGGCATCCCCGACATGCGAACCGGTCTGGCAGGTCGCTGTCCTTCGGTACTTGGGTCTGTGTCCGGGTGGAGCTTCCTAATTCTAGGGTTTGGGGCATAGGGCTTTGGGTTTAGAGTTAGGGATCATCCTATCCGTAGCGTCCCGGCTGCTGCATTGGTCGGTATGGCACGCTAGGTCGCTAGGTCGCTAGGTGGGCTGTACCGGTGGATCGCTCTGTCGACTGATATCTCTTGCGGCTCTTGCTTTTGTCCATGGTGTCACACTCGTTCCATCGTCGCTGTGCGACACGTGGTGGCAGTCCCACGATGACGATTAGGATGATGCGGAAGCTGATGATGAGGGTGATGCTGAAGCTGATGGTGAGGGTGATGGTGAGGCTGAGGATGAGGATGATGATGATGATGAGGATGATGATGATGGTGATGATGGTGATGATGATGATGATGGTGGTGGTGGTGTTGATGATGGTGATGGTGGTGACGATGACGGCTGCTAGTTCGATTGATTATGTTGTCGTCGCTGTCGCTTAGCTGATACATCTGACAGCAGCACTGTCCAGAGTAACTCTCACAGTGAGCGTGATGATAACCTCTGCAATATAGTAACCCTTTACAGCCCCTGTAGTAACCCCAAACCCGGAACCCTTGCCCTTCGTGGCGTTGGATCCTGTGGATCTGGTTCGTCGAAGATGATCATGAGCTTGCAGGACATGTTCCTCAGCTCTGACGGGTCTCTTGCAATCCCTTTTGGGGCTTTCAGGCAATTCAAGCTTTCTGCCCTGGGCCAGATGGTCTTGGATTTTTGCGTGGTCCGGGGGCGTGGGCTGAGGGTTTAAGCTTGAGCTTCTTTAAAGGTTGAAAGAGAAAATGCAAATGCTCGGATCTCAACATAATTGTGTGTAAGGGCCCCGGACATCAGGTTTCGCCGTTCCCCCAGCTTGCAGTGGTCAGCTTGTTGATAGGCTGCACGGCTTAGGAAAACAGGTTCTCAAGAGCGATAAGCTTCCTCACCGCCACGAGCGGCACGTCTTGCCGCAGTGTCCGCTTTGCTAGGGTGTCATAAAGCTCCCAAAAGAAGAACATGTCGAACACCTTCAGGTTGGCTTAGGGGTTGAGAATAGGCACGGCATCGAGCTGAAACTATTGCTAGAAAAGTGCTGGGATGATTTCTGAATTAATTCTTCTTGCAAATACTATGTTTCACACGACCTGTACTGCTAGCTCCTCGCGTGTGACCCATGATGTCTCTGATGAGTTCGTGTCTGTGCTCCTGCAGTCGCCACTGCGAACACAACTACAGCTACGATCACGTAGTAGTTGTGCGAGCACCCAACCGACTTGCCAGAAGTGACAACGTTTTCGATCCCACAGCTCTGCAGCACTAGACTGAGATACTCGGATACCGCATCAAACCTTCTATATTTTGCCAATTCTCTCAGTACCCTTCTGCTCGACCTGACTGTGTGAGAACTCGCTGGGGGTGCAGGTGGATTCAGACAGAGCCGATACAGGAGTCTCGGACAAAAGGGTGACTCCCATCTAGCTCCTAGATCGTAGTCTTCATAGCGCAATGCCCCCGAACAACAAGAAATTAAACCCTAAACCCTCTGGCCTTGTTGGTCGGTGGGAGGAAGGGCAGAGGAAGGTGCTTTGTATCCTCCCCGCTGGAGTCGTAGATGTCTCCACCGATGCTGAAGACCTGGCCGCCCATCGGGCTTAAGGGTTCGGAGTTTAGGGTTGATGGCTTGGAGTTTAGAGCTTGGGGTTCAGGGTTTAGGGCTTGGGGGTTAGGGTTTAGGGTCTAGTATGCCCTCTGCATCCGTCATAACCACATGTGCAAGAGAGCACTTGACGCGAGAGATAAAAGCCTCGGATATAAACCTAGCAATGGTGATTCAATAGCGCTACCGGTCGTGTCAGCTGCGGTGGAAGCCACCAGTCTGAGACCTGCTGCACCCGAGGAACCCCCAACCTATTCCCTATACTAAACCTAAAACCCTAAACCCTCAGCAAAGCAGAATATACGATAATATACTACAATCTACTATAATATACGATAATATACTATAATCTACTATAATATAGGATAATGGACTATAATATGCCATAGTATAAGGTCTCTAGCCCTTTTGCCTTGCTCCGAGGTCTCACCAAGTGCTCCTTCATCTCGGGCTCCACGGCGCTCATCGAAGGCATGGCAGCGGAAAGCCGAGGCTTCTCGCTGAGGCTTCGCGGGTCTTAGGGTTTCAGGGCCCCTCACGTAGGACTTCTTTTCAGGAGGCTTTTCGGGTCTTTGTAAGGCTTAAACATCGAAAATAGATGAGCTTATGAAGCTTCTTGAGGGTTGGACCTGGGCTTCTACGGTTGTAACAGGTGCTTACATCAGTTTAGATAAGCTCCAGACTAACTTAGATACTGATCGCTTACGGACGCTTGCCTTGGGAGTCCGACCCCAGCTTGAGGAAAGAACTTGAATGGTTCCGATACGTCTTCATGCGGAATCAGTCATTCAGGCATCCCATTAGCTTGTTATCAAGGATATTGAACGTCTGGCTTGGCCAAATCTGAACAAATCCGCTCTACTTGGCACATTCTTGTTTTGGTTTCGGTGAAAAGCAACTGCTGTGAGGAGCCGATGCCTGAAGAGATTTGGAACTTGCAGCAGCCGTCGGAGTGGATCAGACGTACTCAACAGGACGAATCACATATTAGCGCATAAATATCTTTGGCATGCCTGTCCAAAGTTTAAAAACTGCTGCTGCGAAATATAAACTATACTGCCAGGTATCAATAAAAAGTCAGTATGAATACAAAGATGAGTATAAAACAAACGCAGAAAAAAAAAACGTATGCATGTGCAGACATACATGTAAACATACATACACATAAAAAAAACCTAAACAGTATATGAATATGTATATACATACATATATATATATACAGTTGTTGAAGAAAAATAACTGCAAACATCAACATATGTATGATGTAAATCAATAGTCGAAGTATGCATTTAAACATGTATACATAGTTTATTACAAAAGAGATGTGAATACATACAAAACTAGAACCATGAACATATGCCTAAATACAAATACAAATAAAGGTATCAGTATCATCTTAAATAAATACATACATCAGCAAATATACTATATATATATATACATGTATACATGTGTACATATATACATATATACATATATACGTATAGACATATATACACATATCCACACATACATATATACATACATATATACATACATATATACATATATACATATGTGCATGTATACATATATACATAAAAGCATATACATACATATAGAAGTAATATACATATACATATATACACATATACACATATACGCAGTAGGCATGTGTACATATGTACATCTGCGCATATATACACCTGTACATCTATACATATATACATCTATACATCTATACATCTATACATCTATACCATCTATACATCTATACACCCGTACACATATGTATGTATATACATATATACATATATACATATATACATATATACATATATACATATTTACATATCTATACACATACATATTTACATATTTACATACACACACATACATATGTACATATGTACATATATAGTATGTACATATATAAACATATGTTCATTACGTACGTACATACATACATACATAAATACATACATACATACATCCATACATACATACATACATACATACGTCATACACACATACATATATGCCTATATGCATATATTCAGTCATACACGTCTGTGTAACAACTTACGCATTATTTAAATGCCTATTCATTGATTCACTCATTTTCTTTGTTTTGTGGATATAATTTTCTCATTTTCTTACATCTGTATATGGGTATACATGTGCACACTTACATGTGTATACGTACATACGTGTATAAACACACACACACACAGAGACACATCCACCCACACCTGAATCATATTGCAATTGACATACAGCCGGCGGCAATTCATAGGGGTCACTCTGCCGTGGGGTCTGAGGAGGAGGCGCATTGTTCAGCACCACCCCGGCGACTGCCAGAACGGCCACCTGCGACCCCAGACCGCTCGTGTCGGCTTGAGGCTGGAGGTCGAAGGCTCCTGCCTTCTAGCGTTTAGGGGTCGAGGGCTTAGGGTTTAGGG